AGTACTGTATGTTTCTTTGTGTGTGGGTGTGTGTGTGAGAGAGAGAGAGAGAGAGAGAGAGAGAGAGAGATGTGTGAAACGGTTGAGTGGTGTTTGAAAGAGGTTTGCGAGAGGTCTAGGTCTGTGTTTCACACGGACACAGAGAGAGAGGTGTGTGCGTGGGAGAGAGGTCTAGGAGACACAGAGAGAGAGAGAGAGAGAGAGAGAGAGAGAGAGAGAGAGAGAGAGAGAGAGAGAGAGAGAGAGAGAGGATGTGTGAAACGGTTGAGTGGTGTGCGAGAGAGGTGTTGGGGAGAGATCTGTGCCACACAGAGACACACTCAGAGAGAGAGAGAGGACGGGTCTCTCCACCGTGTCAATTAGGGCTATGTATCCCAAGCGATCAATCACCGGAGAGGCGGTGTGGCCTTGCAACCGCCGACTTCGAAAAACTTCAGCAAAGCAAAAAGGAAGGGTTAAACTTATATGCATATATACTGTCCATATATGCCGACGCGCGACACGTCTGTCTCTCTTCCCCTCAGACACACACGGACCTAGACCTCTCTCCCCCACCTCCCCCCACCTCTCTCAAACAGCACTCACAAAAGGAAACGTTACTCTCCCTCTTCTTGTGTACTACTGTAATATAGTTAAGTTTATAAAGAGGGATATATACGAACGTATGTGTATATGCCGAGGCCCTCGTTAAAATATATACATGTATTTCGTCGATCGCGTCTGTATATATCGTTGCCTTTTGGCTGTGCAAGTGGGTCGATATGACACACGGGGGTGGGGGCAGCCGCCGCTCAACCTACATCCACGTGGGCGGCCTTGTACGCAAGAGGTTCTGAACAGGGGGAGTTGTAAGGAAGAAGATGAAAAATGAATTGATATTTTTTTGTTACCTTTGTTTTTTTCGCTTTTGCGCTCTGATATCTATGTGACGATATATAGCTCTGATATTTATGTGATGATATATATATTTATGAAATGAAAATGCTATGTACGTGGATGGACTTGTACGTAAGAGGTGATGAACAGTTGGGGCTTTTCCTTTCTTCGTTTCCTTTCGTTGTTTTGCTTTTTTTCGCCTTCGCGCTCTGATTTACAGTGTGACAATATATATAAGAAATTCGAAGTCTCTTTCTTTTAACTAAAACAAAATAGAATGTTTATTTGTTAATTTATCCTTTTTTTTTTTTTTTTTTTTTCTGTTGGTTAAACTTATAACCTGACCTTCATAGGCAAAGGTTGATGTCTGTGAGTATCTATATATGCGCATACATATGAAACTCCTGGCAGTCCTTTTTTTATATTAACTCGGAATTCTAAATATTTATTTATTTATTTCGTGAAAATTCCAATGGAAGAGGTAGCTAAGGGAAAACCCGAAAGATCCTTGTCGTCGAATTTCGGATTGTTATGGAAATTTGAATTTAATTTTTTAAACGAAAGAAAAAAAAATATTTGAGTTTTGAGGATAGATTCGTTTGGGTTAATGATACGCATCCTTCTCGATTGCTCTACAGTCTGCACACACGAATATAACACAGGGTCATTCTGTCTGTATGTGGGGCAATTTTCAGTCTAAATACAAGGGAAGAAAATAAAATCCGAATGTCGATTTCTTTCTGCCTATGGGTGGGGGGTGAACGATATACGCATCCTGTTCGATTGATTGCTCTACGGTCTGCACTCGAATATATAACGCAGTGTCATTCTTGGCCCTATTTGGGGCAATTTTCAGTCTAGATACAACGACAAGGACTGTGCTTTATTCGGGAAAAGTGAAGGCGAGATTTGCATATCCGTTCACTGAGTCGGATCGTTCCTCAGTGAGGAGTTACTCTCGTCCTCCGAATAGAACGCACGGTAATTATAGCTGTACTTGGTCCAACTTTGGCTGTAGATACATCGATAATGACCGGGCGTTGTATTCGGCTAAAGAGGGTGGTGAAAATTGGTAGTCGGCGGAAGTACGTGTTCATGTATACTTTCAACGTTCAGAATTATGCGTTCGATGGACTGTTATGTTCGAGGGGGGAGATGGTACTACCTTCTTCCCCCGAATACAACGTACGGTCATTATAGCTGTATTTGAGGCATCTTTCAGTCTACATACAGCTATAATGACCGTACGTTGTATTCGGGGGAAGAAGGTAGGTTGGTAAAGGATTGCGGGAGATTCGAATTTCACTCAGTGGCAATTACCCCCGAATACACCGCATATGCTTTTTTTTCTTTCCTTTCACGATAATTATCGTTTGTTTGTGAGCCAGCAGTTTGAGATAAAAAGCGGTTACGAGGACGCAGCAGATCAGCTTGTGCAATGCTCCGGGGCAAGGTCCCACTTGCACGGATTAAGAGATACTGACCGTAGATGGCAAAGATCAACGGCCGCAATCTCCTAATTTGCGCAAGCGGGACCTTTCCCCCGGTGTCTGTGTGTTTTGTGTTTTTTTTTGGGGGGCGGAAATGGTTAAGTTGGGGGGAGGGGAGTTTGAGGAACGGGAAGTGCGGCGAGTGGCGGAAACACGAAGCACGCTCTCTGTGTGTGTTTCTCTGGCTCAACTCTTCATTTTTTTGGGGCGGAAATGGTTGAGTTGGGTTCGGGGAGGTTGAGGAATGGGAAGTGCGGCGAGTGGGGAATACACGAAGCACGCTCTCTGTGTGTTTCTCTGGTTCACAGAGTGAGAGAGAGAGATGGCAGTGTGTGGCGAGTGGGGGATACACGAGTGTTCTCGACTCTTCATTATGGAGAAAATAGGATTAGGTTTAAAAAAAAAAAAAAAGGATTAGGTGAAGAGTCGTTAACGCTTTACCGTTAGAGAGAGAGAGAGAGAGAGAGAGAGAGAGAGATGACACTGTGTGGAGGAAAGAAAGTAGTGTAGTGTGAGTGTGCATTGGTGCAGAAGCTGGTCTGTTGCTTGTGTGCATCGAGGCATTTATGTTTGTGGTATAGTGTGAGTATGCATTGGTGCAGTGTGAGTATGTCCCAGAGGGTCTGTGTCAATATATCGTAAGGCTAGAAGTTGCCCAAAGTCTCAGTGTCAGTATGTCCCAAAAGGTCCCAGAAGTCAGTATATGCCCGTAACTGCGGACAAATACATTCAAAAGAAATCCCTTTGTGAGTATGGACTACGGAGCTGTCAGATGCCAATGTCTCGCGCATGCTAAAGTCGCCTTTGTGTGTTTCTTCTTGTGTGTGTGTGTGTGTGTGTGTGTGTGTGTGAGAGAGAGAGAGAGGAATACTTGTGGCGGTCCCAGCTTGCCCTGCTGTAGCAGTGTCAATGTCAGGGCAGAGAGGTGGTCTAAGAAGGCGCCCAGCTATCTACCCTAAACCCAAATGTTCCAAGTAGAAGATTTGTACTTGAGATGGGACTATTCTTCCCTCTGCAATCAATCTAAGCAGATAGCCGGCACAAGTATTCCCCTCTCTCTCTCCCTCTCTGTGCTTTAGATTGATCAGTGTCAGCCCGGGCTCTTCGAATTCTAGTCCCTGAGAAGTGCTTGCAACGAGGCCACGCAGCAATAAATCTTTGCAATGAGGCCACTCGCTGCCCGTGTTGTTTCTTTAGCAGTCAAAAGCGTGGAGCCTTTTTTTTTTTTTTTTTTTCTTTTAACACAGGGCCCAGTGCCCAAGGCTTGCACTACTCAAGGCGTTGAGTAGAATTCGAGGCCGGCTGAACGAATGCGAACGGGGAAAGAACATTGCGAAACCACCGCAGCACCCCGCCCAGCTGTGGATGCTTAGCCTATATTCACCCACCCTGTGTGCCTTTTCCTTTTTTGTTTTTTTCGGTGGAAGTGTGTGCCTTACCCCGCCCAACTATGGAAGCTTATTGCCTCGTTCGGCACCACTTGCAAGGAAGCGTTTGATCCCGCGCGAAAGACGTCCCCTTGATTGAAATCGGTGATCGCACTAATGACGTACCCT